ATTCCTTGTGTATATGTACCACATTTTCTTTATCCTGTCCTCTGTCACAGGACACATTGGTTGTTTGCATGTCTTGCCCACTGTGAATTATGCTACAGTGAACATAGGGGTGCATATATCTTTGTTAATACATGTTTAGAGGGGTTTTTTTTGGGGGGGTATATATGCAGGAGAGGGATTGCTGGGTCATATGATACTATATTCTTAATTTTTTGAGGAATTGCCATACTGTTTTTTATAATGGCTGTACCAGTCTACATTCCCACCAGCAGTGAATGAGGGTTCCCTTTTCTCCACAACCTCTCCAACACTTGTTATTACTTGTCTTATTGATAATAGCCATTCTAACAGGTGTGAGGTGGTATCTCATTGTAATTTTGATTTGCATTTCCCCAATTGCTAGTGAGGTTGAATATCTTTTCACACATGTGTTGGCTGTTTGTATGTCTTCTTGGGAGAGATGTCTGTTCAGGTCCTCTGCCCATTTTTTGATTGGGTTGTTTGGTACTGAGTTTTATTGAGTTCTTTTTATATTTTGGATATTAAACATTTGTTGGAGCTATTGTTTGCAAATACCTTTTCCCATTTGGTTAGCTACCTCTTTGTTTTGTTGTCGGTTTCTTTTGCCGTGTAGAAGCTTTTTAGTTTGATATAGTCCCATTCATTTATTTTTGCTTTACTTCCCTTGCCTTTGGGGTTAAGATCATAAAATGTTCTCTATGACCAAAATCAGGTGATGGTCTTCTGGGATCTCCTTGTAAGTAACTGACAGCTTTTCTCTTTCTGCTTTAAGATTCTCTCTTTGTCTTTAACCTTTGGCATTTTAACTACAATGCGACTTTATGTAGGCCTCTTTGAGTTCATCTTGTTTAGGACTCTAGGACTCTCAGTGCTTCCTGGGCTTGTATGTCTATTTTCTTTGCCAAGTTAGGGAAGTTTTCTGTCATTATTTATTTAAATAAGTTTTCAATTCCTTTCTCTCTCTCTTCTCCTGCTATCACTATGATGTGAATATTGGTACACTTGATGTTGTCCCAGAGGCTCCTTAAATTATCCTAATTTTTGTTTTGCTGTTCCAATTGTTTTCAAAATTGTTGTCTTGAAAATTGCTTCTTTGAACTTCTGCTTCTAATCTACTGTTGATTCCTTCTAATGTATTCTTCATTTCAGATATTGCATTCTTAACCTCTGTTTAAAGATGTTTTCTCTCTCCATTTGTATGTTTCCTGACTCCTGTTGAAGTTCTCAGTGAGATCATTGAACACCCATATAACCAGTGTTTTGAACTCTGCATTTGGAAGATTGCTTGTCCCCATTTTCTTTCTTTCTTTCTTTCTTTTTTTTTTTTGAGTTTTGTCCTTTTTTCATTTGAAACATGTTTCTTTGTTTTCTCATTTTGGCTGCTGTTAGGTCTGATCAAATAATTGAATCGATCCCCCCTCCTCTGGGAACTGACCTTTAGGCCACTTCACAATGGGCATTCCACTTGCTTAGACCACATTCCACTTGCTAAGACCATTATCTCTCCTCTCTGGAGTTTCCCAGAATACAAACCTCCACAGAGAATTCTCCACCCAGAAAAAGCCCGCCTAGCGTCCTTTAAAAACCTCTGACGCCCTGTCTTTGGGTTCTAGTGCCATTTTGGGGCTCAGCCCACCTGGTATCCAGATGACCTAATGAATTTATAATTCCTTACCACTTTGGCCTCATGTGTTCCTCCTTCGGTGACCCTAACATTTGGCGCTGAAACCCAAGGGGGTTCCACGGGGATGGGGAGCCATCGCCCTGGCTTCAGACACCATGAATTTGCTACTCGGAAAGCAGTAGGCAGCGGCAGCTCTACCTGGGCTTTATCACCGAATCCTACTGAGGTGACATGATGGCTGGCCTCGATTAGGCCTTCCTCCCTTATGGACACCCCCGCCCCCCCCCGCAAGCCTGCAAAGGAGAATGCTGGATCAAGAACCTCTCTTTCTCCATTGCTGATTATCCATTCCACACTGGCCAATCTTGTCTAGGTGAGTGACATTCCATAAATTCCCTCATCTTGAGTCTTCTGCCTACTCTCTCTCACTGACTTCTCAAAAGTCTCTGGTCTTGAAAGTCCTAGTGCTAGGCCAGAAGACTCTTTAGCCATTTGGCTTTGGGTCCTTCTGGATTGGAGATGCCCAATCCAGGGGGTCGCCTCTCATTTCTCGTGGTAGTTTGTTTAGCAGTGGGGATGCCTGCCCTAAACAGTCACCTTTGGATTTGTGGTCTGTGACTCACCCGTCCTCTCTCATGGGCCACACTATACTCCCTCTGCACACTCATGGGGAAGATCACACCCAAGCACTTCATTTTATTTTGTAACACTGTGTGGCCACAATATAAACTAGCCTCAATGGCCTGAAAATGGCACTTTCAATTTTAACACACTGAGCAAGTATATTTCTGTCACCGCAATGAAAAATGGTCAGAGATTCCCTATGTCCAGGCCTTTTGCATCCTCCGGTCCTGACCCTCTCTCTGTCAGTCCTTCTCTACCCATCAGATTCTTCTCCTTCATACAAAACATCATACCCCTAACACTTCTGATTCTGAATCTACTTTTGACCCAGCAAACCACCGACCTCCACCCCCTTATGCACTCCCAAAATACAGACCCTCCTAACAACAACCACCTTCTCCCCAGGCCCCTCAGAGCCCAAATCCCGAGAACCTGAATTCTAATACAGCCTTTTCCCACCTAACACTCACTCTCGAGCAACCCAAAGACTGCCTTCCTCAACAGCCACTTCTGTTCCCATGCCCATTCCACCCCTGAGGGAGGTAGCAGGAACTGAGGGCATAGTCCAAGTCCACGTCTCATCCTCTATGTCCAATCTCACACAGATTGAGAGGTGTCTCAGGTCTTTTTCCACTTACCTGACCACATTTACTAAGGAATTGAGTACCTGACCCAGTCCTATGACCTGATCTGGCACGACATTTAAGTCATCCTGTCCTCCTCTCTAAACCCAGAGGAGAAGGAGTGCATTTGGATAGCTGATCAGGGCCATGACAATATCCTCCATAGACAGAATGTGGCAGCAAACCCTCTTGGTATTGATGCATTCCTCAGAACTGACCCGAGATGAGACTATCAGGTTACTTCTCCAGGGCACCAGCTCTGTAGCCATATAATCACCTGTCTCATTGCCAGACTCAAAAAAGGTTGCCCATAAAGTGGTCAACTATGACAAACAATGAAATCACTGAGGGCCCTGACGAAAACCCAGCTCTCTTCCTCTCCTGCCTCATGGAGGCCTTACAGAAATGTACCATCTTAAACCCACCTCCCCAGAGGGAACCCTTCCTCTGAATACCCATTTTATATCCCATTCAGTCCCCAAAATGTGCTGCAAACTTTTAAAAAAAATAGACATAGGTCCACAAACCCCTCAAAAAATCTTGTTAACTTGGCCTTTAAAGTCTTTAATAATAGAGACGAGAAGACCCAAATCCAAAACAAAGGTGAGATCAGGCCAAAGCTGAGGCCCAGAGGAGGCCTTTCAGCTCCTAGCCACCGCTTTTATGAACCCCAAACAAAGTGCCGGTCCTCCAACCAAGGGTAACTCAGGGGCTAAGCCTCCTCTAGGCCCATGCTTCAAATGCAACAAGGAAGGACAATGGGGCAAGTCCTGCTCAAACCCAAGATCCCCTCCTGGGCCCTGCCCAAGGTATGGAAGGGAAGGCCACTGGAAATCAGACTGTAGTCTGGCCCCTCCAGGTCGAACCTTGGACAGTCCAGCCAGGCCACCCTCTGGGTCCAGTTTGGAGCTCCCAGACCTCCTGGGACTGGCCACCAAAGACTGAAGCTGCCCAGGCCCCAATAAGTCCCCACAGACTTACATCACCAAGACAGAGCCTTGGGTAATGATTGTGGTGGCAGGTAAGACAATCTCTTTTTAATTGACATGGGGATCACTTATTCTGCCCTCCCTGAATTCACTGGGACCCTTGTCCTCCCCTCAACCTCTATTATGGAGGTTGATGGATTAATCTCTCAGCCATTAGCCATCTCTCCTTTATATTGCATCTTACTAGACACTCCTTTTATCCACTCTTTCCTCTTTCTACCTCAGTGCCCGACCAGGGCTACCTCACATCCCCTCATAAAACCCAGTTTTCCCAAACCACAGTCACCTGCCTTAGTTTCACTCTCACCCCACAGAGCTGAGCCAGTATCTTGGACCTTAAACACCTTATCTCCTCCATAACTGTCCCCTCCTCTAGATAAGAAATAGGCTCCTTTCTTGGCATCACTGAATACTTTATCCTCTGGGTTCCCAAATTTAGTCTTCTTGCAAAGCCCCTCTATGACACATTGAAGGGAGCCCTCACTGAGCTTTTAGATCACAACGCCAGCATTTTCATCCCTTTAATGCTCTGAAACAACTCTTACCTCACTGCCTTCTCAACCCCCTTCCCAATGAACACCTTTCTTTACTAACAAACTGCAAACACTTACTTAACAGTCCTGCTACTATCAGAAGGTGAACTCATTATCATCCAAACCTTAACATGTTATCTCTAAGGAAAAATGTGGCAGTTTTAAATCCAAGTGGCTAGAGACCCAGGGACAGGCTGCTGAGCCTGCTTCCTCCTCCCCCCACCCCCTCCCCCGTGTCTTTTCTCCAGCCTCATATGCCTATAGATAATTTTCCAAAGTCTTTGGTAACTTAAAAACTTTGGAGCATTGCAGGATTAAATGATAAACATCTAAATATTTTAAAATAACATAAAATACTGAAACATTGATTGCTAGACAAGTTTTAATTTGCCTGCTCTTAGCTCTTATTATAGAAGGTCTCTTATACTTTGTTGAATGCATATTTTCTTGAAAGTAAGATTGTGTTTAAAGTGTGTTGATAAATGTCAATCTAGGTTGTTTGCTTTTTGGCTAAAGCTGGTTATTTGTGAATGGATAGAAGGTTTGTGTTGTTCAGTGAGTCAGGACCCAATCACCCCTGACGTCCGAAGGGATCTCTTCTCTCCTAGTAAGCTAAAGCAGTCCCGCCCAGGCTCTCTCCTATTGCTTAAGTCCTTATATCTAGACTTTATTTCCACTGTTCATTCACAGTCCTTGACACTATCATTGAAATCATCAACAGGTCTTCCTGCTTAGTATTTAGGAATCTCTTTCCCCTTTTCTAACCTTCTTAAAAGTCATACACTGCAAAGGACACCGAGTCAGGAATGATCCCACAATACAGGGAAATAAAGCAGACCAGGAAGCCAAGGCAGTGGCTCAGAGGAAGCTTCCATCTCCTCAACTCTTAGCTATACCTCAAATAACACCCTAATATACTCCAGAGGAACTTCTGTCCCTATTAGCTTTTGGGGCTCCTCAGGAAGATCCATGGTTAAAATTTCAGGGAAAATATATCCTTCCCCAAGGACAGGCCTATGATATCTTAAGGGCTATTCAAAATTCCCTACATATAGGATACATTTACAACTCCTAAAACACCTAGTTGCATGTCCTAGACTAGCCTTCCTACTGTAAGATATCACCAAAACCTGTTCTACATGTTACTCAGTATCTCTCCAAGGACAGGTTAGACTTCCTTCTTTCTCCACTCATAGGCAAGAGGCCAAATCCCTGGACAAGACTGGCAAATTGACTTCACTCACATGCCCCCTATAAAAAGAACCAAATACCTCTTAACCCTAATAGATACCTTCTCAGGCTTGGTAGAAGCCATTCCCCACTATGCCTGACCCACCTCATTACAATCATATAATGGACCTGCTTTCATATCTCAAATGACTCAACAGGTCTCCTCCACTCTGAACATCCAGTGGAACTTACACCCCCTCCTACCATTCCCAACCTTCAGAAAAGGTAGAAAAGGAAAATTCCTTAATTAAGTCTAACCTAATAAATTAACTCTTGAAACTAAAGTACCTTAAACTAAAGTACCTCCTACCTCTAGCCCTTATGCACATCAGGGCAACCCTCCCGTGCACACTCCTTTCTTAGTTCATTTGAATTTATGTATAAAAGACCCTTATTATTAGGAAACCTCCCTCCCACAGAGATCCCTCTAGGAGACTATGTCCCCATTTTAAATCTCATCCAACAATTACTGAGAGAACATGCTCATCAGGTCCTCCCTTAACCTTTTGTGGGAGACACCCCCCCCCCACTCCTCACATCCAGGGGACTGGGTACTCCTAAAGGAAATCTATTCATCAAATAATTTATAGGTTCAATGGCAAGGCCCTTATAATTACCCCAAGAGCAGCTAAACTATCGGGGCATATCCATGGTTCCACCTTTCCAGATTAAAACCCATCTCAGGAACACCTCCATCACATGAGCTGGAGTTCCCTTAGTATTACAGCCACCTGATCGCGCCAACCAGACTCCACCTTCTCTGAATCCCAGAAGAAGAGGATGAATGAGTGAGCGAGCACCCCTGCACATGCTCCCTATATATTAACCCTACCAATCCTGACTTCTCTGAAAGTCCACTTCTCTCCCAATACAAATACTCCAGGTCCTAGCTACTGCCCCCTCTCCCTTTGCATCAGGATTCTCACCTTCCTTTGGGACTCCCTTCTATAAGGGGACTTTGATTACCCATGGGAAGGGACTTACTTCTTTCTAGACCCCAAACATATCCTTCCCCACCTTGGGACAATCCCTGATCCTTGAAGTGGGGATTAGCTCTCCTTCTCATCCTATTCTAGCCCTTGTCTCCTACATCCATAAGAAATTTTCTTGCCTCCACTCATTCAAACACTTAACCTTACCCATTCCCTTCTAAACCAGACCAATCCAACCTTTGCCAGGGATTGCTGGATCTGCCTTTCCCACTGCTCTTCAGCATATACCACCATCCTTATACCAATCACAAGATGGCATCAGGTAAAAATCACTCTAGCTTATAAAAAGGAAAAGGGAACTACATTTCTCAAAAAGGCAGACACCCTTCTGACATCCTATAGCCCAACAAATCAAGCCTCCCTTCTTTTCTGTATTTATATTCAATCTCTTGCTAAGGTAGCTCCTTCCTCCATCCTAGCCACAGGTCCTATTACTCTACACAACCCACTAATTGCCCAAACCCCTTTATGCTTTACAAGGTCACAAGGCAATATAATAATATATTGGCTTAATAATAAGCCATCTCCCATCATCAGCTTGCAACACAACAGTTAATGTAGAAGTACCAAATGGTCTCTGGTCCCAATGGGTTGACTACCTGGTCTTCCCAGAAGCCAATGGTTATTTCCTACATCCAGTCAGCTTTACTTCTTATCTACTCATTCAGGCCCGAGGCTCCAACTGCTTCTTTCCTTCCCTTTCTCTTTTCCCTTGGATAACAGCCCATTCTATCGTTTCCTTCCACGTTCACTGCAATAAAATCTCAACCACTCATCTGTCACTCCTTATTGGTAGGGCCATGGTGACTACCCTTTCAGCTTGGAGTGCGAAACTAGGAAAAAGAACCTCATACCCTTTAGTCCACCTCTTCTCTCTATACCTTTGAGCTTGTCTCCATGATCAGGGATTCTTTTTCTTTTGTGGGGAGAACACATACATCTGTCTCCCCACCAACTGGACAGGAACCTGTACTCTCATCTATCTCTAACCCAATGTAGATGTAACCCCCAATAATCAGTCTTTACCTATCTCAATAACCCACCATATCCAACACAAGAGGGCAGTTCAGATAATACCTCTCCTAATAACCTTTGGCATCACAGAAAATGTTGGAACTGGCATAGACGGCCTAACCACTGCTTTATCCTATTTTGAAATCCTGTCTCAGGACCTACAAGAAAGCTCTAGATGCCTAGCAAAACTAGGAAAACAAGAACCTCACCCCCCAGGGTAACCTATCCTCCCCTTTAATATCACTAGTCAGGCAACTTAGACCCCTGATCTTTTCCTCCCTAAAGATAACATCTAGGCCTCAGTTGCATTTCAGCCCAAGGCCCAGAAAAACAGCAAAACCAGACAAGTAATGCTGTGGCAACCTCAGGACCAGCTTTTACTCCCAAGTCACTCAACAGGACCATTTTTGAGCCTTCACCAACCAGTTTCTTGGGGAAATAATGCTGCTGAGACCCCTTGTTTAGCCCACTACTATCAAAGCTCATTCCCCTGTGATCTCGACATCCCACCTCAGCAGGAAGTAGATATAGAAGATATGACCTTTGTCCCTATTCCATAAACAAAATAGCTGGAATGTTAGGTATGATCAAATGACTGAATTTATATCCGCTCCCCTGGGAACTGACTTTTAGGCCACTTCACAATGGACACTTGCTTGGACCACATTCCACTTGCTAAGACCATTATCTCTTCTCTCTGGAGTTTCCCAGAATCTGGTCCTGCACAGAGAATTCTCTGCTCAGAAAAAGCCTACCTAGAGTCCTTTAAAAAACCTCTGACTCCCTGTTTTTGGGTGCTGGCACCATTTTAAGGCTCAGCCCATCTGGTAGTCAGATGACTTAATAAATTTATAATCTCTTACCACATTGGCCTCATGCATTCTTCCTTCAGTGACCCCAACAGCTGCCTCTCTGTGTAAGTTTCTATGCATTAGGTACAACTTCTATGTCTCCTGGTCTTGGCAAAATGGACTTACGTAATGGGTATTTTTTGTGGGCCAATAGTACAGTCTCCCTCATCACCTGAATTGGTGCTACAGGTATGTGGTTGGTGTGGGTTGTTCCTTCCTGTTGTTGAGCCTTGATTGCTATTGGCACTACAGTGAGAGGGATTGACCCTCATGCTGATTGGTTGTGAGGGCTGGCCATGACTACTGTGGACAAGTTGTTGTGCAGAATCTGATCAGATGAAGCAGGATCCACTTTAGCTGGGCTTTGGTGCCTGCTGGATTCACCCTTTTGGGCGTGTCATTTGTAGAGGTGGTAGGGTAATGCTCTGGTGTGGAGTGAATCTGGTCACAAGGTGTGTTGGTTCTGGGGCCTCTTGGGAGGTTAGGCAAAGGTCAGCCGCTCCCTGGGCCCTGCCTGTGGCCACCTAGTATAAGCTACAATGTGATCTGCAGGTGGTTGACGCTTGTGCTGGGCTTGGAGGTTCCTGGGAGAAGCTAAGTTATGAACCGAGGCTTGCTTCTGCTAATGCTGGATTGGGGCTGCTTAGCTAGAGGATGGGCCATGCCAAAGGCCACATGCTGCTTGTTTGGGGTTTATGAACCTTTGAGACTCTTTAGGGAAGTCCTCAGCATGAGCCTAGATAGCTATTTGTTTTAAAAAGCCACTGGAATAGGCTTGGATGGGGATGCAAGTTCAGTGTGTCAGGGTCTCAGGGAATCACCAGAGCAGGGCAAACAGTGTTAGCTAGGTTGATGGAGACTCAGATCTGGTGCTTACCTGCACCTGCAAGGGGAGGAATCAGCAAACAAACAATGGCTTCTGCCAGCACTTCTTGCTGGGAAAAGCTGCCCCTTCATCCCTCACCCCAAAGCCAGATAATTCTGTTCTTCTCTGTATGTCCCTGGTGCCGTTTGAGCTGCTGCCCCAGCAATAGAGCTCAGAGCCAGTGAGTCCATCAGCAGATAAATTTGTGAACTCCTGGGACTCCAGCAGCTCTCTGTCTCAGTCAGCCACAACCTCCATTAGTTTTCACACTTAGAGGTTATGAGGACTCCTCTTCCTAGCACTGGACCCTGGGCTTAGTGACCCTGTGTGGGACTGGGACCCTTTGCTCTTCAGGGGACATGTGCAGCCAAGATAACTCTCCTGAATTTTAACCACCACATGTGTAATTGGGAACAGCCTATTCTGCGACTCTGCTCCTCCTAACAATCTCGATATGACTTTTTCTGTATATCATTAGTTATAGGATTCTGTTCAGCTAGACTTCAGGCAATTATCAGGGATGGCTGTTCTGTAGTTTAGTTGTAATTTTGATGTGGTCACAGGAGGAGATGAGCATAGCATTTACCTATGCCACCATCTTGACTGGAAGCCCACAGTGACTTGGACTTTTAAAAATATTCTTTCAAATGTTACTGGAGAAGAGTCTTGTTCTGCACATTTTGGACTACACATTCTAATCATCTGAGAAGTTT